CCTGATCCGGAGGCAGCCATCTTCCTTGCTATGTCGCTCCATAGCTCCTTTTTGTTGCTGTTGCACAAGTTATTCCGAAAGCTGGAAAACAGTGTCACCTTGTGCAAGCTCACCTCGTCCAGCAAAATTTCAAGTTCCTCTGACGAGAAGCTTGGTGCCCTTTTTTTACGTTGCTTCCCCACCATATTCTGTATCTAACTCTCTCTCTCTGTTCATTGTAGATAGGTTGCTTTTTATTGAAAACATTAACCAATGGCAATCAATACCACATTAAACAGAAGTAACTGCAGCTGCTTGCCAATCAATTCTGATTGTAAAGTACCTTACCATTAATATAAAAGTGTATTACATAATTTTTAGAAGTCGTTAAACCCATGTCAAGAAGCGTCACAAGTGGCACAACGGGATAAGGAGGGTGGATGATTAGCGAGGGATACCCGGTTCGTCTACCCGTCACAACATGTCGTGTGAACATATTACTGACAATTTGATAATTTAATTAATAGTCTATATTTTACGGATAACTTAAACTATGTTAAAATAAATGTTACTGGAATAATTTGAGGAATGTTTCATTTGCATAGAACGTGTTGTCTTTCTTAATGCCGTAATGCACCTTCGCGTGAAGTGGAAAATTGATTCCTGAGCAATCGATGCCAACTAATTCAGCACCTTCACTTGGGACAGCGCCTCTGTAACGTCGAACGTAAGAGGCAGCATGTTAAGAAGCTTCCTAAGGGACACTTCAGGGAACACACTTAGGAACATAAACAACTTTGGTAAGATATATCTTTCGAGTCTTCTTAGCGCGCTAAGAGCGAGCGTTATCGGTGAACCGGGCCCAGATCATTAATGACAACGAAAATCAGACCATCAACACATTATTGAAGAAAAATGGCAAGTCGATATTGCTTAATTTCAAAGAATGTTCAGTTTATACAAGTTCATGCAGATTTAGTCAAATTAGGGATACACTGATATTCAAGCCAATATAATATTTTCATGTTATGGCTGATAATCATAAAATAGCAAATATTTAACTTCAATAGACTTTTGTCTAAATAAATCAAATAAAAACACTAACTAAACTCCATTATATATTATTTGAAATTCAAGAGAATTTAGACATTACAATATTATTATGTACAGTATTAAAAAAATGGATATTCATTTTGCTATAGATCAGGGTTGCCAGGTCTGTGTAACAAATCCAGCCAAATTGGTACTCAAAACTAGCCCAATCGCATTCCGGGGGAAATTGGGTATCAAAATCAAGTTCCAGGAGGGGTCAACAGAATAACATATATATATATATATATATATATATATTGCTCCTTGTTAGTTCTTGTTATCTAATTTGTTAACATCTGTTAATTCATGAATCCTTATTGTAAAGTGTTAATATTTATTAATATATATTTTATAAATATATATTTTATTTATAATTTATATTTATTTATTAACAAAATATTGGTTTGGGGTCAATCTTTTTGTTGTTGTTGACAGAAATGAATACTTTTATTTAGCAAGAATGCATTTTGATCAAAAGTGACAGTAAAAAACGTGTAAATTACAAATTCTATCAAATTAATGCTGTTCTTTTGAACTTTCTATTCTATTTCTATTCTAATCCCGAATTTCTTTTTTTTTATCATTGTTTCCGAAAAGATAAAACAATAGTAATGGCTGCTGAAAATGCAGCTTTGCCATCGCAGGTATGAATTACATAAAGTATTAAAATATATATCACAAAATAAAACAGTAGTTTGAAATAATAAATGTTAGTTTGTAATAATTTATTTTGAAATAATAAATATTATTTCACAATATTACTGCTTTTACTGTATCTAATTATATAAATGCTGCCTTGGTAAGCATAAGAAACATATTTCAAAAATATAAAAAAAAATCTTACAGACCCTAAACCTGTCACGCTACTGTGTTGAAGAACAAACACAAACATGATGAAGATATGAAGTCTTTAATAAATCCACAGAAGATAAATCCAAACAGAGAGAAGGATTATAACATGCATAACATTGACGAGACCTGACATCAATGAACAGAACCATGGTAACTTAAATACACATGCAAACAAGGATAATTAAATCACATACACCTGAACTGAATGACGAACCAAATGAGTGACCATGACAACAAAGGCAGGGAGAAAAAGGTGCAAATGAAAACAAAGTTCAAACTGAAAGATACTGTGACAAAATCTTTGAATGGTACAGTAGTATATACAGTATATGAAGTCTCTATAGAACATGTGTGTGCATAAATTTAACCAGCCTGAAAAATACCATTATTTAGCATGATTTGAGAAAATGCAGTAAAATTGATGATACTGTTGTGGTTGGATTTTATTGCTGATATGTAATGTCACTGAAATGTAGTATGTCATTGAAATGTCCAGTTCTGAAGATTGAAGTCTTTCTTCATTCACATAGATATGACCTGTATTGTCTTTAACCATGATGGTCACTATAGAACCAGTCATAGAAGACACTGTACAGCCCTTCACACAAAGACTGTTACTTGTTGTGTCCTGCCATAGTTGTGTGCTTAGAGCATTTCAGTGCTTTTTTAATTAGGATGCTTTAAAAGTAGTTGCCTGTGTAGACGGTAGACTCACAAGGGTTTGGAACAGAGCCACACTGTCTATACTTTTCCCCCTCAGCGTTTTCCATTCTCACATGAATATTCATACACATACATCCACATGTTCCTCTTTCTCTTTCTTTTCCGCCAAGGTCAGAGTTGTGTAGCAGGTGTAACAGACTTGTGCCTGCTGTTAAGTCAGTGGAGGTCTGAACTGCTGGAAACAGATGTGATGGTACACATCGTGCTGTGTAACTACCTGCAATGTGCTTCATTAAGATGACTGTGTTTGAAAGAGGCAGAAAAAAGGGAGAGAAAATTAGAGGGAAAATAATGGCTATGCAGATTTGTTTTGGCCAAATAAGAAAGAAGGTAATAAAAAAGATGAGACGGAGGGAGAAAAGTGCAGAAAGAGAAGGAAATGTCAGAGGGACTTTTTGTAAATGCCACACAGTGAAAAACAGGGAGTCAAGTACATTTATTTTGTCATCTTGGAGAAAAGGAAAAACAGAAGGGGAAAATAACTGCAGACACTTGCAGTGTTAAATACACCGTGCAAACAAATATTACCTAAACTTTAAAACAACATTCTCAAGATTTTTGCAGCTGCATGCATAATCACGACTGTCTCAAGGAGACCTATTTTAAGCAGTTATTGGAAACTCAGTACACCCGATGCAATCAGGGTGTTTAAAGGGGCAGCCATTGCTGCTGAAACCTGGTGGTAAATCAATGAACCCCATCCGGAACAGCCTTTGTTTTAATGGAACATGTTCTATTATATTTCTCAAGAAGGGCACTATTCATCCAACTCACACTGCAGTGTATAAAAGACAAAATCAGAATATCAGATATATCGTAATGCTTGAGACCAGGATTGCCAATCATTAAAAAAGTTTTGTAATTAATTGTTCATAATATTAACAATTAATCATGTATATATATATCAAAATGAAGAAATTCATAAGAATTCATAAAGATTACATTATTTTGGAGGATGAAATCACTGATTAGACAAAAGTGGCTTTAGAAGTCAAATATAATGTTTGTTGTATTTCATATCATTGAATGTAAGCTTATCACAGGTCAGCTGTCTAGTGTTTTTATGAACTAAAACTAAAACTAAAACTATTTCAAAAATTGTATTGAAATAAAGCTGAAATAAAATAAAAATAGATGAGATGAAAAAACTTCAGCAACCTAATTAAATAAATTTAAGTAC